GGGGGCCCCGAAAAAACCACGGGGGGGGGGGGCAGGACCCGTGGGCCCCGCAGTAGCTACGGGCCTGGCAGCACGACAGAAAGCTCCACAGGAGCGCAAGGGTTACCTTCACGCAACTGGGAGGTTCATGCCTCCTGACGCCATCGGGACACCCCACTGAAGCCAGCTACCCGTGTCTGCAGAACCAAAGCCCTGATTGCGTCTACATTTCGGCTCCTCGTGCTCTTGAAATATCGTGTGTTTCATGCTGTCCAAGAACCGCACGTCCAAAATGACACTTCGGTTGCACCATTTGCGGGGAGGGAACCCTAACCCTAAAGCCCTGCATGATCACTGTAGCCAGATCAGAGTGAATTCCTCATTCCTTCCCGCTCATGCTTTTGCACTATCAAGCGATGGGGGTGGGGGGAACGACGACCCATATTTCCAGTTACAGGAATATGGAGCTGAATTCTAGTCTACAGCAGAGTGACATTTTCTTCACTGATGGACTCAGGAGAGTGCGTTCAAAGAGACCGATTCCGATTTTGGAAGCGCACCTTCTCGGTCCTCAGTAATCTACATCTAAGTAATTATTCTTTGAGTACACAAGACATAGCAAAGACTGACCCCTGGTGGCCACAGTTCTTTACACTTTTATGTGCACAGTTTTATCGAAAACTTAGGGGTTTGCTTCACCGGTAACAAGATGCTATTCACCAAAGAACAGAAATCTAAGTGACAATTTGCTTGTGAAGGCCCCTTTACTCTGGTGGGTAGCCGTTTTGGGGCGATTTCTCACTAGAGCTGCCTCGCAGCGCAGCCGCCGTTTGCCTCGACACAAACATGTCAATTTCACACCCGAGGCTGCGAGGCTGCATTTGACCTGCAGCTTCACCCGATTTCCTCCGCAGTTTCGTGATCCTCAAAAACCAGGATCACGAAACTGCGGAGGAAATCGGGCGAAGCCGCGAGTCAGAATGCAGCCCCGCAGCCTCGGGTGTGAAATTGACATGCTTGTGTCGAGGCAAATGGCGGCTGCGCTGCGAGGCAGCTCTAGTGAGAAATCGCCCTCGGTCATGCCGCAATAAATGAAGTTTGAGCCCAGGGGCACCTTTAAAAACAGCCAAGTTTAATTCTGGGTGGAAGCTTTGCCGGTGTGCATGCGCGCTAAGGATTGTGCAGGCACACAAAAGTTTATACCCAGAATTAAACTCAGTGGGTCTCAAAGGGGCCGCTGGACTCACGCCTCGCCCCTTTGGTGCATCGACCTCTTTTGTGATAAAAAGTCTGACAGATCTGCCAAGCTAGCCTGATGACGGTCGGCTTTACAGGTTTGAGGGGAACTTACCTTTGTAAACGTTTAACGTTATCGTTCTGACGGCAATCCTGACCATGCTCTCGGGGTGGTTGAAGAATTTAATGGCCTCGGTGTACAAGGCGAAATCGTTCGTGTGCTGGAAGAGAGAGCAGTGAAAAGAACAGCACCGTGGCTTTTGGCGGAGGGAAACGCTGTCAACTCGCAGCTGACTTAGGGTGGCCGCACGGGATTTTCAAGGCAAAAGGCGTTCAGAGGTGGTCGGCCGTTGCCTGCCTCTGCGTAGCAACCCTGGGCTTCCTTGGTGGTCTCCCATCCAAATACTGACTGGGGCTCACCCGACTCAGCTTCTGGGATCTGCAGGCTAGCCTGCGCCATCCAGATCAGAGCAGAAACCAACAGAGGTGGCTGACCATTGGCTCACCAACTGTTTGCTATCTTATGCTTGACCTTGTAGATGCTCCAGCTGCAGTTTTACTCCGCTGGGAAAGTCAATGGCTTTTCACTTTGCCTGCTTGCTTTGCCCACGCACAGGCAAGATGTATCCATTGGCTCATGCTTACCGGGGGGGTATGGGGGGGGGGAACATGCAGATCTGCCCTCGCAGAGGAGGGCGAGCTTGTACCTGAATAAAACTTGGCCTTAAAGGTGCCACTGGACTGTTTTGGGCCGGGGGGGGGGCCTGCAGCTTACCTGGCCAGTTTGGTGTAGTGGTTAAGTGTGCGGACTCTAATCTGGGAGAACCGGGTTTGATTCCCCACTCCTCCACTTACACCTGGCTGGATGACCTTGGGCAAGCCGTAGTTCTGATAAGAGCTGTCCTTGAAAAAGAGCAGTTTCTGTCAGAGCTCTCTCAGCCCCACCTACCTCACAGGGTGTCTGTTGTGGGGAGGGGAAGGGAAAAGAGTTTGTCAGCCGCTCTGAGACACCTTTGGGTAGTGAAGGGCGGGGTATAAATCCAAACTCTTCTTCTCTTCTTGCTCTGACTGAGGGCTGCTGGGAGCAAGGGGTGGGGCTTGTTGCATGTGCCCGCCCCCTGGGCTGTTTACTGGGCTCCGCTCCTGTGCACTCCTGCAGGAAATGACCCGATTCTAGTATAAGTCGGAGGCCCTTGTACAGGCAGCCATTCCTGACACAAGCTGTACACGTGTCTTTAGTTCTGGATTTACCAATAAACAGTTATCTTCTCATGAAGCCTTGTGTCGAGTAACCTGGCTAAGGACCCTGACATTGACTTCCTTGGTGGTCTCCCATCCAAATACTAACCGGGGCTGACCCTGCTTAGCTTCTGAGGTCAGAAGGGATTGGTCTTGCCTGGGCCGTCCAGGGGGGGCAAAGGCAAACAGAGGTGGTTTTGCCATCGCCTGTGTGGTTTCCGAACCAAGTGCTAGCAGGCCCCGACACTGTTCACTTGTGAGACCCAAGGCGATCAGGCCGGCGTGGGTCATGCAGGTCAGTGAGCCATGGCTCTTAGAACCTTGCAGAAGGACTCTCGCAATCCGGCCCCATAAAGACGGGTTTTTCACATGTCTGTCAGATTACTGCCGCATCTGCCTTGGCGAGACACAGGGCTAAGTTTGGGGAAAAGCATCATGACCTTAATTCCCCAGAATTTTTGTTATTGGTTTTTGGGGGCTGACTTTCTGCTTGATAAAAATACCGAATGTCTTGTCTCTACGTTGGATGCCTCTGCTCGCTTGGTCGCTGCCAGGAATTGGAAATCCCTCACGGGACCAGAAAAAAACAGGACCAGAAAATCTGGGAACAATTTTTGAAGGGTGGGATTATGCATAATCTGTTTGTTTGTTTGTTTGTTTTGGGGGGGGCTTACGTAGGGCCGTCCCTTTATTTGAATATGACAAATGATGGAAACCAGTCTTAGCATTTCTACGCGCTAAGGATGTAATTCCCTCGATGCAATGCAGTTTAGGTGGTGGGTCATTGTGATTTTCGGTTTTTTTAACAGATTGTTAAATAAAAATTAAAAAAAGAAGAAGTTTCGGGGGAGCTGCTCTCTCAGGAGTAGTTCTCTCAGAGCTCTCTCAGCCTCACCAACCTCACAGGGTGTCTGTTTTGAGGAGAGGAAGCGGAGGTGATTGGAAGCCGCTCTGAGACTCCTTTGAGTAGTGAAAAGTGAGGTATTAAAAACCAACCCTTCTCTTCTTCTTCGTTTTTTAACTGAGGATTTGATCGACCGGCCAATCTTTCGTTACTGGCCTGTTACAGCTTTCTCATTCTCGTGTGGGAAGGTTTAGTGCTTTCCTATCTGATGAGGCCTGGTAACCAGCCGGGAGGAGAGGGGTCCCGCAGATGGAAAAGCAGGGCAGAACTGTTCCACATAAACAGAATATACCAGTTTAGAATGAACAAAACTGGCTTTACCGGTCGCCCAACATCGGATCCTGCCGCAAGCCGTTCTGGCCTATTTCAACTCCGTATTCTTATGCTCTGATGCCCTCTTCTGGCAAATATCGGCTTTAGCAAAAGCTAGCTCTAGTGCTGCAAGACTCTGGTCTATTTATCTTACTTCTGACCTCAGGGATGAAGACCACCGATTTATTCGCATTTTACACACACAACGCCATCGGAAGGTTCCTCTTAAATCGCAACTGACCTCGTTATAAAAGAAATGGACCGTGTGGTTGTTGAGCTTCAGAGAGAGGGTTTTCAAGAAGGAGATGTAGTACGCCATGATCTCTTCGTCCGAGAAGTCGAATTTGTGCACAATGATTGAATTCACGTAGTTGTTGGAGAGCAGGTAATCTGGGAGCGGGAGGGGGGGGAAAACAAACTCAGCGCATCAGTAATCAGCGCAAAACGGTGCATAAAAGTAATGCTTTGCTCTGAGAAGAAATGGGAGATCTCACAGTGTGTTCTGTTCTATTCCAGAAGTCACTGCAAAAATCTTCCAAAGTGCTTGAAAATGAGGTGTGAGATTAGAGAAAAGACACATATGGAAGAAGAAGAGGAGGAGGAGGAGGAGGAGGAGGAGGAGGAGAAGGAGGAGGAGGAGGAGGAGGAGGAGGAGATTGAATTTATACCCTGCCCTTCACTACCCGAAGGAGTCTCAGAGCGGCTTACAAACTCCTCTCCCTTCCCTTCCCCACCACAGACACCCTGTGAGGCGGGTGGGGCTGAGAGAGCTCTGACAGAAACAGCTCTTTTTCAAGAACAGCTCTTATCAGAACTACAGCTTGCCCAAGGTCATCCAGCAGCTGCGAGTGGAGGAGTGGGGAATCAAACCCGGTTCTCCCAGATTAGAGTCCGCGCACTTCACCACGACACCAAACTGGCTCTGGAAACACCGGAAAGCCTTCTATGAAACAGCAAATCATACCCACAAAGAGAGAAGCCAGCACGATGCGGTGTTTAAAAGTGTTGGACCAGGATATGGGAGCCCCGGGTTCAAATCCCCACTGGTGCCCCCTGGAAGATGAGAGCCAACATGGCTGTGAACTGGGAGACCCCAGTTCAAATCCCCACTCCTGCCACGGAATATCGCTGGGTGACCTTGGGCCAGGCACACACTCTCAGTCTAACCTACCCCACAGGGTTGTCGTGAGGATGGAGGGGGTGGAGAAGAATGTAAGCCGCTCTGGGTCCGTTGGGGGGGAAGGCAGGGTATGTGCAAAGTAAATAAATAAACTGCACGTTCAGCCACAGGACTCAGTACAGTACTCCTTCGTCTTGTCGACCTGTCTTTTAATTCTGAGGCCTGTCAATTTTTAGGTAGGAGCACTTTTTACGGAGCACGTTCAAGAGGGACAGATCCCAAAGAACACGCCTCAATTACTGAACTGACACAAAGGGCGCACGTGTCGTCACTGGACATCAGCAACCTGCGAATGAGTATTCCTACGTCAAACTTTCCAGATGCCATCAGTCCCACTCACTGTAACCCTGACTCCCAAGAAATCGGGGCTCTGTGGTTTGTGGCCAGAATTTTAAAAAGGAAAAAAAAAATCAAGATTTTATACAATCCTTAATTTTTAAAATTAATTTATTTATGAAAAACCTCTATAGCCCCGCCTTTCAAAGAATCACAGAGTGGGAAGGGGCCATAGAGGCCATCCAGTCCAACCCCCCACTCAATTCAGGACCAGCCTAGAGCATCCCTGACAAATATTCATCCAGCCTCTTCTTGAAAGCTGGCAGGGAAGGGGAGTTCACCACCTCCCGAGGCACCTGATTCCACTGCTCCACAACTATTCACTGTCAAAAAGTTTTCCCTAATATCCAGCTGGGATCTTCCCGCCATTAATTTTGTGAGTCCTCTCCTCTGCTGCCAACAGGAACAGCTCCCTGCCCTCCTCCTCTGAGTGACAGCCCTTCAGATACTTCAAGAGAACAATCATGTCCCCCCCTCAACCTCCTCCTCCTCTCCTCCTTTTCCTTCTGTTTCAAATTTGCATCGCAGTTCTGATCAACGAAACTCAGTTTACCCTTCTGCACATTCAGATTCAAGGCAGGGGCAGAGCGGGGGTTTGCACTATGAAAGCAGAGAAAGCAGCTCACTAAAACGACAGAGGGAACCAAAGCCCCTTTTCAGCCTCTCAGGCACTGAGTACCAGGACCAAGGACTTTCGAGGATACAAACGGCTTCAGATCCTGAATGCTTTTGCAGATTTACATTCTGCACCCTCCAAAGATCTGCCAGTTTACTTTCTCAGAGGCGGTTGTCAGGTAACCCTGTCATAGGTCTGGAATGTGGAAGGGGGCCCTCCTTTTGCTTCTCAGCTCTCTCTAGCTCATCAACTGTTTGCTATCTTATGCTTGACCTTGTAGAGGCTCCAGCTGCGTTTTACTCGGCTGAGAAAGTTAACGGCTTTTTAGCTTTGCCCGCGCGAGATATATCCATTGGCTCATGCTTACAGAGGGGATGTTTGATTTTCCTATAAGTCAGAGGCCCCAGTATTGACGGCCATTCCTGACACAAGCTGTACACGTGTTCATTGGTACTGGAATCATCAATAAACAGTAATCTTATGAAGCCCTGTGTGGTGTGACCTGACTAAGGACCCTGACAAAGTCCCGAAGTTTCCCAGCCCAACTAGGAATAGCCTAATTTGTAGCACGGTGGCCGAGAAGTGAATATCTGTTGCGAGACTCGAACCCATGGCCTTCAGGTCAGCGATGCCTCACCAGATGCCCCCCACCTCACTGTGCAACGCAAGCACAGAAAAGCCAGCATGGGGTAGGTTACAGTGTCGGACTGCAATCTGGGAGACCCCCAAAAAGCTTGCTGGGTGATCTCGGACACACTCCGCCAGATCGACCTCACAGGGCTGCCGCGAGGATGAAAATGGAGACGGGGAGAAGGCCATTAGCTAGTTCAGGTCCCCACAGGGGAGGAAAGCACAGTAAATAAAAACGAACGTCTCAAGAACAGAGCCAAGTTGTGTTTTTGTGAAGCGGGAGGGGAGGGCTGCGTACTCACAGAGAGAGGTCTCATGGCCGATGTTCTCGAAGAGGATGTTCAAGGTCTGCAGGAGCTGCACGCAAACGTAGCGGCCCGACTTCTGACGCAGGATGTTCAGGAAGAACACAAACATGTTCTTCTCCAGGAAGAAACTAAGGACACCAACAAAAACCAGTCAGCCCGTTTGTTTGCTTCATCTGGCGAACGAAAACAATTTCTTACTTAGTTTTTCAAACACCAGTTATCTGTACAAGTCCGTTCAGCAGTTGCTAGCTATTTGTAGGGGGGGGGGGGGGGGGCGGACACGCTGACACCTGAAGCAGACAACTCCAACCCACGGCAGTAAAACTAACAAAGTCATGGACAATTCCAAGCCTTTGAGGTACCGGTTAATTCCACAAAATGTTCCGGGTTCAGTGCTGCAAAAGGAACTCAGACAGCAGGTAAGACCTCACAGTGTCTTGGGAGGGATCTGAGAGAGCTACTGCCATGTTGGTTGGTGGTAAAAGAGCCAGTTAAAAGGGACCAGGTAGGAGGTGATGGGAAAGACCTCTGCCTTGGGACCCTGGAGAGCTGCAAAGAGGGGCTGTGGCTTAGTAGAAGAGCCTCTGCTTGGCACACAGAAAGTCCCAGGTTCAATCCCCAGCAGCATCTCCAATTAAAAATGGACGAGGCAGGAGGTGATGGGAAAGACCTCCGCCTGAGACCCTGGAGAGCCGCTGCCCGTTTGAGTAGACAAGACTGACCCTGATGGACAAAGAGTCTGATTCACGACAAAGCAGCTTCATGTGTTCAAAGTAAGTGCAACTGAGGCCACGGCTTGCCAACTGCATGCTGAATTCAGCAGGGCTTGCTTTTGGGTAAACACGCAAGGAACTGAGCTGCAAATCCTCTCTAAGGAATCTGCATTAGCTGATTAAACACTCCACCCTCTAAAACGCGTATGTCGCTCAAAGCACTTACTCAAACACAGAACTGTCGTTTTGGTCTCCCCATATCAGGATTTCGGTTATCGTTCGGATCGTCTCCACCAACAGGTTGCGGTTGTGTTCGGTCACAGTGGTGTTTTTGGTCAGGATGTGATACATATACCTTTACAAGAACAGACAGAGAAACAGTTACTGATTGCCGCAAGAAACCCTTACCAACGAACGTGGGGAGCTTGAGTAAAAAGAATCGCAACAGGAGAGATGTTTCCCAAAGTTTCACAATATTTGGGGGGAACCACCTGGGTTTGGTTTCGGCTTAAGATTAAGCAAGGGAGCCGGGTCGATCAGTGAGTCGCTTTCCAGGAGCAGAGAACCGACAATGAGCAAATCCAACAATATACAGCTGTAATATCTTGAAAAAAAGACAGCCTTTTACCATCTCCAGCTGGTTAGGCAGTCGGTCCCCTTCCTCGAACGCAATGATCTGGCTTCAGTGATCCACGCTATGGTCACCTAGAGGCTAGACTACTGTAAGGCTCTCTACATGGGGCTGCCCTTGGGGGCGACTCCGGAAGCTGCAGCTGGTGCAGAACACAGCGGCCAGGCTCTTGATGGGCCTCCCCATGTGGGAGCACATCCAGCCTGTGCGAAAGTCATTGCACTGGCTTCCAATAGCGTTCCAGATTCGCTTCAAGGTGCTGGTTTTGACCTTTAAAGCCCTTAATGGCCAGGGGCCTGCCTACCTGAGGGATCACCTTTCCCCGCATGTTCCCCAGAGAGCACTGTGATCTGGAACACAAAACCGCCTGGCCCCCCCTGGGCCTAGGGACGGCAGGCTGGCGGCAGCTAGGACCAGGGCGTTCTCCCTGGCGGCACCAACGCTCTGGAACGGGCTCCCAAGTGCGATCAGAGCACTGCGGGACCTCCAGCCATTCTGCAGGGCCGTGAAAACGGAGCTTTTCCGCTGCGCGTTCCAGTAGGAATGACTTCCTCGGTTGTGTTGCATTTGAAGAAGAAGAAGAGATTGGATTTATACCCCGTCCTTCACTTGGCATCTCAGAGCGGCTTACAAACTCCCTTCCCTTCCCCTCTCCACAACAGACACCCTGGAAGGTGGGTGGGGCTGAGAGAGCTCTGGCAGAAATTGCTCTTTTTCAAGGACAGCTCTTATCAGAACTATGGCTTGCCCAAGGTCACCCAGCAGCTGCAAGTGGAGGAGTGGGGAATCAGACCCGGGAATCAGGCACTTCACCACTACACCAAACTGGCAAGTATTTATCTACTTGCACTTTATAATATCGAGCTGCCACATTTAATTGGTTTTAAATTGTATTTTTCTGTAATTTTATTGAATGTATTTTATGTTCGTTTTAAAATTGTAAGCCGCCCTGAGCCGCTTCGGCGGGAGGGCGGGGTAGAAATCTAATAAATAAATAAATAAATATCTGCAAGCTTTGTGCTTGCAGTGGACACTTCCCATACAGGACCATCTGCTGAGAACCCCTGAGGGCTCAAGGGTGCGCAGGTTCAGTGGGCAAAGAGCATTAGTCAGAGTGGGGGTGTGCGCGCGCGTGCGTCTGGCCACTGTCCTGCTGGAGTTAAAGACTACAGTGCACATCTTTCCAACAGCTTCACCGTGCAATGGAAGTTGACGCAAGAAGAGCCCAGCTGGACCAGACCAAGGCTCCACTCAGTCCAGGGCTCTGTGGCCTACAGTGGCCAACCGCACATGGCCAGGAAGTCAATACACGGAGCTGCTGTTTACTCCCAAAGCAACTGGCATTTAGAAGTCCAACGACCGGAGATCTCATAGTCACGAGCCACTGACGGATCTATCCACCACCACGTCTCATTTCCTTTCAAAGACATATTGCATAACACGGATTTTGCCCCGCGGTAGCCTAGAACTGTTCGGGAGGGCACCTTTGTCATGGACCCGTTTTATCACCTTGCACTGCTCTTACAGCACTGTCTTCTACCTTTGCAACCCCACCTTTTTTTTTGTTGCATTGCTTATCATACACCTGGCCTTAAGTCGGCTCTATCGCTCACGTTGTCTTCTCTAACTCCATAATCCCAGTCCTACTGAGTTGTCCGTTGTTTGTCCCAGGATCTCCGACTGCGTTTCACGTTCTGTAATCCGCCAGTTTGGTGTCATGGTTAAAGAGCACAGACTCTAATCTGGGAGAACCGGGTTTGATTTCCCCACTCCTCCACTTGCACCTGGCTGGATGACCTTGGGCAAGCCATAGTTCTGATAAGAGCTGTTCTTGAAAAAGAGCCGTTTCTGTCAAGAGCTCTCTCAGCCCCACCTACCTCACAGGGTGTCTGTTGTGGGGAGGGGAGAGGAAAGGAGTTTGGAAGCCGCTCTGAGACACCTTTGGGTAGTGAAGGGCCATGGGGGTATAAATCCAATCTCTTCTCTTCTTCTTGAGTCTCAGTGAGAACGAGCGCTAACAACAAATAAATAAAACTGTGGCAGGGAATTACATATGTTAGCCATGCTGTGTGCAAGAGAACTTGCTTTTTGTCTGCTGAATTTACTCTCCTAGGAGATTCCAAGAGTTCCCTCCTGGGCAAAGGAGGAGAAAAAAAAATTATCCCCAACTTTCTCCACGCCAGGTGAAGTTTTGCTAAGCTTCAATCACATCCCCGCATAATTAACCTTTTTCTTTACTGAAAGGTCTCAAAGCTCCTAAGCCTCCTCTCACAAGGCAAGTGCCCCCAGTGTTTCCTCTAAGTTGAGTCTGTGTGAGCTGGCTCACAGTTTCTTAGCCTCCGGCTCACACATTTTTGTCTTCGCTCAGAAAGGAGGGCTCCAGAGCAAACTCATGTATGCAGGAGCCAAATCACTCGCTCACAACTTTAATCCTGGTAGCTCACAGAGTAGAATTTTTGCTCACAAGACTCCGCAGCTTAGAGGGAGCATTGCTTGCAAGCAGTGTTCCCTCTAAGCTGAGTGAGTGTGAGCTAGCTCACAGTTTTTTAGCCTCCGGCTCACACATTTTTGTCCTCGCTCAGGAAGGATGGCTCCAAAGCAAACTAATTTATGCAGGAGCCAAATAGCTCGCTCACAACTTTAATGCTGGTAGCTCACAGAGTAGAATTTTTGCTCACAAGACTCCACAGCTCAGAGGGAGCATTGCTTGCAAGCAGTGTTCCCTCTAAGCTGAGTTAGTGTGAGCTAGCTCACAGATTTTAGCCTCCGGCTCACACATTTTCGTCTTCGCTCCGGAAGGATGGGGCTCCAGAGCAAACTAATTTATGCAGGAGCCAATTGACTCGCTCACAACTTTAATGCCAGTAGCTCACAGAGAAGAATGTTTGCTCACAAGACTCCACAGCTCAGAGGGAGCATTGGCCTTTGATCATTTTGGCTGTCCTCAGCAGAGCCATGCAGTGCTGTCTTTCATACCAGGGGTCCTTCAAAACACAAGTTTGGAAACCAGCCAACCGTGCACACAGCTGCACTGGTGTTGGGGCCTTTTTAAAAATACACAATGTCACACCCCCGCCCCTTCCCCATGCCACACTTGTGAAATCTCTCTCAAATGCCTACAGAACTTCTGCTTCTTCCACGTAAGCTTCCTGCAACGTTCTCCGCAACTCCGGAAGACACTTCTGCCCTGCATTTCTTACAATATTTACCCACCTGGACCGCCCCGTAACTCCCCTCAAAAAAACTTTGCCAGGTTTCCCACCGAATCACCGGAGAGAGAGAGAGACAGAAATCGGGGAGCTGTGTGGCTCCCACACAGGAATAAAAAAACTTGGTGGCCACTGAAATAACACATAAGAACATAAGAGGCGCCAATGTGGGATCAGGCCAGAGGCCCATCTAGTCCAACACTCTGTGTCACACAGTGGCCAAAAATACCAGGTGCCATCAGGAGGTCCAGCAGAGGGGCCAGGACACTAGGAGCCCTCCCACTGTGGCCCCCCACCCCCAAGCACCAAGAAGACAGAGCATCCCTTGCCCCAGAGCCCCTAGCTATACCTTGTGGCTAATAGCCACTGATGGACCTCTGCTCCAGATGCTTATCTAATTCCCTTTTGAAGCCGTCCATGCTTGTAGCCGCCACCACTTCCTGTGGCAGTGAATTCCATGTGTTAATCACTCTTTGGGTGAAGAAGGACTTCCTTTTATCCGTTCTAACCCGACCGCTCTGCAGTTTCATGAAGTGCCCACGAGTTCTTGTATTGTCAGAAAGGGAGAAAAGTACCTCTTTCTCTACCTGCTCTTTCCCACGCATAATCTTATAAACCTCGATCATGTCACCCCTCAGTCGTCGTTTCTCCAAGCTAAAGAGCCCTAAGCGCTTTAACCTTTCCTCATAGGGAAAGTGTTCCAACCCTTTTATCATTCGAGTTGCCCTTTTCTGCACTTTTTCCAAAGCTATAATATCCTTTTTATTTATTTATTTTATTTATTTTGGGATTTGTATCCTGCCCTACCCATACGGCCCAGGGCGGCTAACAGCGGCCATGCCGAAATAAAACATAAAGTACATTAAAACTTCAATAAATACAAGCTAAAATGGTGCTCTACAGTACATAATAAAGATTAAAGTTCATTTTAAGATCCAAGATACAGTTGATGATTTATTTATTTGTGTTTGGCTACAGCTTCATTATCATTGAGGCCAGCTGAAGTTAAGTGTAACCGAAATCCCTTAGAAAGTGATAGGGCTGTGCTAGTCAAACCTCACTGGCCCTGTTAGTTTCCATAGGACTCTTGGTTGCAGGGATCTGTAGCTAGGTAAAGATAAAAAAGGTAAAGGTTTCCCTTGCTCGAAAGCTAGTCAAATCCGACTCTAGGGGGCAGTGCTGATCTCCATTTCCAAGCCGAAGAGCCAGCGCTGTCCGAAGACGTTTCTGTGGTCATGTGGCCGCCAGGACTTAATCGCTCCTATGACTGTTTCCCCCACTCACTAACTGACTCTATTTTCTGCAGCATCCAACCTGAGGATGTGTTCTGTGTAGCTACAAGACTTGCGTGCTTTGTCTTAATGCACTCCGAAGGGATCTGTCAAAGATGGGCAAGTGGGCGTCAACATGGCAAATGGGGTTCAATGTGGCCAAGTGCAAGGTGATGCACATTGGAGCCCAAAATCCTAAATATAAATACACATAGATGGGGTCTGAACTGGCAGAGACTG